CCATATAAAACTGCTTCAGTTTAACTGAGAACCATTTCTCAAGTTTCAGTAAATTATTGATTAGAATGATGTTAACTAAACACATGGAATTGTGTCAGTAAAGATATTCTTGTCGTTCAAAGAATATTCAATACCAAAATGAAGAAACCTGATCATACTGAAAAAACAGTAATCAGTGTACAGAGATTAAAAAGAGATTATTTTAAAAAACAGCACTTCATTGGTTACTTATAGAAAGTCCAAAACTAATTCTTCAAAACAGCTGAAATATATACAGTAATTTTCCCACATTACGTTCATATCCTTGATATGATGACATTTGATTGAAATACTGTGTACTGTACATGTCCACATGCAGGAAGCAAAAACAAACTACAAAGTGGTAAATGCGGAGTGTGAGAAGACTACTTATGAAACAAGATTTAGGTGTTTGTCTTCTAGACAATACAGGGCAGCAAGAAAAAAAGCAAATAAATGTTAGCATATATAGCAAAAAAGCTTGAAATCAAGGGATTTTTTTAATTATACAATGTTATTTTAAAATTGTACAATGCACTACTAAGACCTTATTGTATTTTTCTTTGGTCACCACATTATAAAAAAATATATGCCTGCTCTGGTATCTGTCCAGAGAAGAGCAACCAGACACTTTCTGTGGTGTAAGGGATTGTCCTCCACTGGCAGACTGAATGAACTCAACCTTTTCAGTCTTGAATACAGAAGATCACAAGTGGACCCGATACAAGAATTTAAATTCTCAAAACCACTGACAAAGTCAACCTATCTGATATCTTTTAAATAAATAGTGAACCACAACTAGTGGAAAATACATTTACGGGTGGAAGTGCATTTAAAAGGGAGAACAGGAGGCACTTCTTTTCTCAAAGGGTTGTGTGAGTCTGGAACAAACTACTGTTTAATCTAATCTGGCATTTTCCCAGGAATTTAATATCCAGGAAAATGTCCCCTCTTATCCATACATTTTCTGAAATATATAAATATTGGATTAAACTATAGAATGCAGTTGTGTCCTTATTTTTTTTTTACTTGATTTGTCGAAACTCCTCATGACATGGCTTATATAAGAGATAATCCTGGGAGGCTCCTTTAAGATTCTTCTCATGTTGGTGTCATAGAAGGGAAAGGGATTGTTTTTGTACACCACTGTAGATGAGGGCTGGATTCATTTTTTGCTCTTCAAATTTTAAATATTACAATAAGAGTGAAAACACTGCAGGAGGCATTTGTTTCACTTCCATGGAAAATCTTAGATACCACACCTTTGAAACTGAATCGGTTTGTGCTAGACAACAGATATAATGGCACAGTGCCACTGCTCTACTGCTTGGAAAGATTCCCAAACTTGTTGAAACTCCCAAAACAATCTTGGACTAGTCTGCTTTAAGAAGTTGCTTATTATTTTAATTTTCTACTCAACAATCATACGTAGTATATTTGAAGAAATGCTGGAAATTAATTTTATAATATCTTCATATACTATATGGCATGTTGAAGTAACACTTGTTCATCTTTGAATAAATGCTGTATAAAACTGGGAATATTTAATTGTTTACATACTGCACAGATTAAAAAAACAACAACAAAATACTAACCCCTGAAGCGGTCTATATTGACATTATCCATGTCTGATGTTGTGTCTCAAGCTACCTTTCCTGTACAACAGGAAAATACCTACATATATCAGCCATGCTTCATAACAAGGCACAGGTCAAGTCTGCTACTACTTTATACTAGTTCCGTTAATTTGGTAGCACAGCATTTAATGCATATAAAGCTCTTTGAGTTTAAATAGTTTTTGACAGAAGCAATATTGACTACATCGTATTTTTCTTCAGTGTAAAGTTGTGTAGTTATTACAAATTGCTTACAGGTATTCAAAAATATTACTTCATTAACACCACTCTTGTAAAGGTCTTCACTGCCACACTGTGGGTCTCTCTAGCTTTTCTGTCTGGATAAAATAATTTACTTCCCAAATTAATTAATAGAAATTACCATATAATTTAGAATAATAGAATAGAATAATACAAACTATAAAACACAAAGCACTGCTCTGGGAAAAAAAACAAATGTTTCTGATAATTGTTAAAAGAGGAATTTTAGCGGCACCATCTCTATTTATTGGTTGTAAGGTCAATGCACTTTTAAGTGTCTGCTCCTCAATGTCTAAGCGAAGAATCTAATCTAACTAATTTAAATCAAGTGGAATTTACAGACCACCGCCATATTTCTAGCTGTATTTTTTTTTTTACCACAAAACCTTGAGCACTCAGACTTAAGACCATGAGCCTCTCCTCAGACTCCCTTTTATTACAGTGCTAAGGTTGTTAAATTTAGCTGCCTTGAAATTTAAACTAGTCTAAAATCTATAACAGTGGTTTTAGCAGGCATAGGCTTTGTTTTGGAGTGAAGTAAGCAATTCCAGTGCAGTTCATTCGCAACGTGATTTATATCATTATTTCAGAATCAAATATCTAATCTCCTATATTTTTAATTTATTTGAGCGTGTGGAGGATATTGATGTAATTTTCCCTTTTTACTGAATTGGTCTCATTTTATTCCCTTTGAACAAACCACCATTTTGTTTACTTTCTTTTCTACAGAATAGATGGCTGATTTATCAGCATCTGTGGCACGGCTTGAAAGGAAACCAAACGTTTCCCAGGAACCTCCTCTCAATAGGCCTGGGTTTCCCCCAGAAAAGGCCTAGGCTTCCTGTTCACTGTGGTCTGTCTAAAGAAATTATCTGAACTGTGGAAGCAGAACTGTCAAAGGGAAGAAAAATGATAAGGGAAGAGGGGAAAAAGATAGAAAAGTAATGGTAATGGAGTTTAGAGTGTGCCTTTACAAGCCTTCTTAACTGCTTCTGAATGTTTTTCATTGGACAGTTTAACTTTGCTTTGTTGTATAATGTCATATAACTGATGAAAACGCATGTGAATATTGTAATTTCAATTAAAGAATGTTCCAGGTTTGTAAAAAAGACAGCCAGGTAACCTGTTGAAAGGATATTAAGTTATTTTTAAAGAGAGATATGCTGCATCAAATATTGGCTATTTAGTTTTAAAATGTCTAGTTACTTTTTCAGGGTTACAAATATAATTGAACCCTCCTCTCACAAAGGCATTTGTATACTTGATTGATTTGATGAAATGGCATAAAATAGGATATTTGATCGCATAACACAAATATAATGTATATACAGTATAACATATAGAGGAGAACACTGTTTCACAACAGGTAAAATACTGCTCACAGTATTCCTCAAAACTCTGATGGCATGAGACAAAATTTTAAGACAAGTCTTAAAGACAATTTAATCTACTATTAATTCCATGACTAGTATACACATGTACACCCAAAAATGACTTTGTCAATTATTTGTTTTGGACGTATAATTTGAAAGAAAAATGTAGTAGAGCTCCACTTGGCTTAAGAATTGTTCCCAACCTATCTCCTGTCTGGGGGAGAAACAGCCCTACCCTTCCAGCAGCTTATGAGTCTCAATCCAACAGAGAGTTACACAGTCAATGCATGGCGATGGACACGCCTTTTTATCATGAGCGTGATCTTTCATGAAACCTGACAAAAGTGCCAACAAACACTGAGTACTCATACAATACTGTAGATTCCTAAATTTGTTCCAGAGGGGTAAAAAAAAAAATCAATTTTCATTGACACCCCCTTAAAACAGAAGTACTTAATTTATTTGAAGCCATTTAAAAAAAGTAAGCGATTCTGCTTTATTGTCTTATTCCACAACATGCTAAAATATAAAGTATACCATGGAGAAATAATTTTGTCTGAAATAATATAAAATAATAACTTCCAAAGCTGGGAAAGGAAATATTCAATAATTGCTACCTTATATGCTGAAAAGTACTATGGTATTTCATTTCAGGTATTCGATAAACTATAGAGTGTAAGATAAGACTGCAATCAATCGGCAGAGCACACTGTAATATAACATAGAGCAGGAGTGTGCGTGAGTCTTCCAATAAACCACAGCACGAATAGAGTCAGTTTATACAGACATCTGATACTCGGAGTGTTCTTGTTCCACTCTTAATAATAGGATGATCAGGGAAATGCCAGTCGGGATCATCATACATCTCAAGTTGGAAAAAGTATTCAAAAGAAAATAACTTTTATTATGATGCTGATGCTGATGATCGGTGAGGAGAGGGGGGATAAGAATGATTTAGGTATAAGAAAAAACAATCCTTTTTAATTTTTTTTTAATGTACCATGACTCATGGCAACAAAATTCCCATTCACAAAAATGAAGACTTCTTGTCCTTGAAAAAGTTTGTTTTAGTCAAAACGTTCAAGTTTAAACTGTGGCTCCAAAGGAATAGGCGGTCGACTGACTTTTTTCCAGAATCACATAGTATTTTTATTCATAGCCCCTCAAATCAAGATTTGTTCATCAACTTGGCTCACTGCTGCAACACTAATTTAAGGCAAGAAACTTGGATGCCTCTTTCTATAACATGCAGTCAAGCCATCTGCCATTTTTAATGGTCAACCACATGTTGTCCACTGTAAGCTCACTGGTGCCTTGAGAGGCAGATTGGTTGCTGTTGCACATCAACCAGAGAATACCCTGGCCAACTGAAGCCCAAGCAAAACCAGCAGCTCTCAGAACAGCCTCACAAGCCTGGACTACTGATCTCAACCTGGCTTATGAATAGGCAACTTTTCTGTTGAATCTGCCTGGCAGCCCGCTTCAGATTTCAAGACATTTTTTCAAGTCAAATTTACACAAATTAGTTTTCATTGATGGAGAGGTGCATTTAGAAATGCAAGGAAAGCAAAGAAGATTGATCCTAAAGCAGCAGCTGTAATTATTATTGTTTTTAAAAAACAAAACGGCAATCAAAGACAAATACTAGCAGCAATTCTGTATGTTTCTGAATAGAGGCCTTTAGATTTATCATGCTTTAAATCTTAAATAAAAAATTAATTTGACCCCCTACCTGCACAATGCTCTTCAAGTCCTGTACATAGGTCCGCTCAGTGTCTAGGATTTCCTGGACCACCCTGTCCACGTAAAGGAGCTTAGGGCCAGCCTGCTCAGCGGTCGGGATTTGTGTTAAGATGTGTTTGCTGGGTCCCTTGCTCTCAGCCCTCTTCTCCCTATCCGTCTGGTTCTCCTGTTCACTCCTGCAGCCCAGCTGTGGAGCAGGGACCAGTTCCAGCCGTATTGCCCCAGTGTCCCTGTCCTGAGGGGAGGAGGCCAGCCCCAGGTGGCTGTTTGACGCCAGCGTGGCACGGCTGCCCAGCGAACAATGGCTGTCACGGGAGGAGGCGGAAGAAGTGGTGGAGCTGTAGCTCACGGGCCGGTCGCTGTCTGTGGAGTCCATGCTGCGCACGCTGCAGTAACGAAAGGCTGGGCGAGTTTCTGGACGAAATCGCCCCAGTGGGGCAGCACTCAGGCCAGTCCGGCTATCTGGGATCTCCGGAAGTGGTGGCAGGGCATCTGGAGGGAGATGGTAATCGTCTACAAAAACACAAATCGGAACAGGAGACTTGTTAACACTGCAGTTTATCCAATATGAAAAGGAGAAGCTAACAAATTTAGCAAAAAATATTCTATGGCCTATGAAAAGGAAGCATGGAAAAACACCAGGCTACCTCATGCTCAACAGTGAAACAAAAGCCCAACTACACAAGTGAAAAATATGGGGAATTATGGACTGGGAATAGGTGGCACTTCCTTACACAAAGTCCTGGTTGTATAGAATAGACAGTATCCCGCAGGGTTTTGAAGGCCGAACAATTGATCCTTCTCATCAAGAACGTGGATGAGATTCTTTAATCATGGAATAGTCCCCTCTTGTTATGTCCTTCTTAAATCTATCACGTTTTTAGAACTAGTTTAGAGGAAACAGATCTCCATAAAAACAAAAACACTATTGAAGTAAATTGGCTGTTCAAGGAATATAAATGCGCTGACAAAACAAAACGTTCCCTTTAAATTAACATTAAGAAAAAAATAAATAGTCACACCACCTTGGTAAGCCTCTATGAAGAGATGGTATAGCATTTTGTTTTGTTATATTTGTTATATTTCCTCAAGCAGGAAATGCTGATTGAGGAAATATAAACAACACTTTTTTGGAAGCACTTGCTTAAAATCTTTTTTTTTCCCTGAGATATACTAAAGAAAGGTGGCGTGACTAACATTGCTGCCTCATAGTTCTAGGGCCCAGAGGTCAGTTCCAGAACATGAGTGTTCTGCATGGATTTTATATGTTTTCTCCATAGACATACTGGCTAATTGGCTTCTGGGAAAATTGGCCCTGGTGAGAGTGTGTGTGTGTAACTTTATGTCTGAGTACACTATGATGGACTGACATTCTTTTCAGGGGGAATCCTAACTTACACCTACCGTGGGGTTAGGCTCTTACTCCCCCACTGGATGAAACAGTTAGAAAAAGGATGAATGCTAAAAAAAAGGTTATGACTAGTTTTCTAGCACAAAACACCTAATGAAAATGCTCAAAATTAGATATTAATATACTATGCCTTATAAGCCATATCACCAAGATTTCAGTATCCTAAGAGATGATTCAATACTACCAAGCAACCAAATGCTCCCCAAGTCTGAAGTTAAAATAACTGCCAGTCCACAACACTTGATACTCTACATGGGTCCCTAGCATCCTGTCACAAAGTTGTCCATTATTTCCAAATATAATCACTGACTCATTCTGGAAAAATGGAAGATCTCACTGAAAAGGAGTTTTTCATAACCCTCAGACTTGTATAATGCAACAGGCACTGGCTTAACTGATCAAATGACTGAATGCTTTTTTTGTAGCCACTTGTTGGCTAGTGACCAAACTCTATAGAACAGGGTGCAGACTACAGCCAAATCCTGAAAACCGTTTTTTTCTTCTTCAGCAGTTTGGTTCTGTCATAAAGATGTGTAAGAGACTGTTTGGACACACTGTAGGCAAAGCTGCTGTCTATAATGAAAGCCAATGCTTTTCATATATCACTGTGGTTTCTATGAAACTCTCATTCCAAAAAGCCATTGTAAAGCACAAAGGAATAAAGACGACATTCATAAAAAAAAAAACATGTGCTTGCTCAGGGATGAATTGCTCTCAAGACTGTTGTACCAGGTGGGGCAGGTGAAGCCAAATCCATTCACTAACTGGCTTTTTGCTTTCCAGCAATAGTGTTCAAATTGAAATGTCTGCTGGTAACACAGCTATGTTTTCTTCTGATGTACTGATCATATGGTGGCTAAGATAAGGGTGCCTGGAGTCTACAGCCACATTATGTGTTAGTATCAAACTTTAAGACCACTTCGGATGGAAAACCACTGAATAGATCTAATGTATCAGCAGGCAATAATGTAAATACAGAACTGGTTGATGAATGAACACAAAGAACCACCACCCAATCTTTTAATAGTACCAAGACTTTTATACCACAAATACATGTACAATTTACTCACAATCCTTCCTTATATGACAACTGCTTTTAATAGAAACAATTAAAGTATATAAAAGAGCAACTGATAATGTATAAGATCACAATGCTAGAAGACCCACAACTGGAAATATACAGTATTAACAAAAAAGCTATTCCTCCATGATAGGACATCCACTAAAGTTAATATTATGAAGGATTCAATAAAAAAAGCACAATCTGTCATTCATTTGTTTCAAGAGCAGCTTCTATTCATTTACCCTGTGACTCAGTTAAGAGTACAAAGTTATCCACAAGAGAAACTTGGAAGAGAAAGCAAAATAAATTGAGCCAACCTAAAGGCTGCACTAATCCTTCCCAACTGCAGAGGTTCTTAAGGTTCTGGCAGCAAACCAATGTTTACATTGTACGTCTGACCTACTTTCAACACCCGTAAAAAAAAAAAAATTGATATGAAGCTGAAATGTTTAAATTAATAAGTGCTTCAGAGGTCAGTTATTCAAACATTTCTTAAAAACAGAACTTTTGATGAAAACAGAAAAAAAGTAGACATTATACTTGGAATAATAATACCATTAACTAAACTCTTAGTGCAGTAGTGTATTACATTTGTAGACAGAGTTCAATAATCTGTCTGCTCATTAACGAGAGTACTTCACATTTTGAAACAATTAAAGTAAAACGTTACCAGAACCGAAAGAGGTTCTATCAGTCCATTTTGCCTAGAAGAAAGAAGATTAAACAATGCTTGTAGAAACCAGAAAGGCCTCTAATACAATATAGTTACACACTCCTCTTACTTAAGTTTTTATGGGCTTTAAAATTGCACATTTTTTTTGGTTTGGTTCCCATTTTCGTTTAACTTCTTTTTACTTGCATTTTAACCAAAACCCTAAAACCATATCAGTGGTTTACTTTAGTCATTTTATTGTGTCCATCCTTTGGTTACAGATGGGTTGAGCATTTTGTTTATCACACTGACTAACAGAATGACCATGAAAGATATGAGCTTTTTTTGGGTCTTTCAGGAAAGAAGATCAATTTGCCCACCTTGTCTGGCATATTGCTTCTGAGGCAACCGTCTAACCACTGAGCTACACCACCACATTGAGAAAAACAATTCCTTCAGTGTATTTGATTTAGGTGAGCTTTACAACTGGCCCAGTAAAACAAAGTTAGATGGATATGTCCTCCAAATGAGCATTGATATAAGCAGCCACACAAGGAAACAAATGACAAAACAATTAAATGATTTAGAATTAAAAACAATCATGAACCCTTTTAAAAACAGACCATTATAAAAGCTAGATGCCTCAGTATAAACAATCAGAGCTTTCAGTAGTCATATCATCAAATTACACTACCAACCAGCCAACAGCTTGTATAAACCTGCCTGTAGAAACAAGTAATCCATAAGCTACCTTTTTGAAGCCTTCTTTGCAAGTCATGCTTTAGCAAAAACTGTCCTATTGAGAAAAGTCTGCAGCACTGGAACTACCATGCTGAGCAGAGGCCTATACCACCTCTGTGATTTTATTCAGTCACATTTACAGATTTCAAAACCAATCCTTGCAGTATTTTAATCTGTTACACAGCCTTCTATTGTGATTACTATTTTAGAAATGCTGCTTAAATTCAAAACGGTGAAAGTAAAAGGTGCTTTTGATTTCCCTGAAAGCATATTTAAACTGTAATGAGACATTAGGAGCATTGTTCTCCAATTTCTTACTAAAATCCTTTTCTTTTAACATAGGTGTACTAAAAATAACAAAAATGGTGTAATAATATTAAGAAACAAGTACAAATGAATTACAGTAAAAGTAGAGATACATGTCATTTGTTTTGTGATGACACATAAGAAGTCCTACTGTTTAAAGTGACATTTTATAAAGACTTTTTATCTAGTCACTTTCATCTAAAAAAATTGGATACTTCATACTCTTTTGCAACGATCTTGGCTCAGTTTGCACAACATAGCATCTACAAGGCCGATTAAAATTGAGCACAATCATTACATATTGTACTTGTGTTCAGAAATGCTTACTTCAGCATGTTCCGATACTAATGGAACTAATCAAATGACACCAATTTAGTGGGGTTTATAAACGGAATATTGCTTTCAACATCAAAAGAAAGCTAAGTCTACAAAACATTAAGGCGAGATTAGATTGCTACACAAAGAGGGTTTTACATTCAATTTGGGTGCTACTGGATCTAATCTGTGGGAATTTCATTTGCCAAGAACATAAGCCAGTGCATTTAACCACAACTTTCTACCCCACAACCCCAGGTTTTTTTTCTATATCATATTACATTCTACACTAGTATAACGATAATATGTTGAATTCAATCAGTTACACATTTGAAACACTCTTTGTACATTTCAACTAAGTGAAGTTAATGTGATTTCCTTACAAAGCTACAGCTAAACTCACTCCCCACAAGGCAGACTACTGTGGGAATTTAGCTAAACTGTACTTCTCAATTGGCTTCACCATCCCTTACTGTTCTTTTGTCCTGAAAATAATTCAATCATACACTCTCTCTTTCTGCTGGATTACTAAAAAATGATGAAAAAAAGGTTAATAAAAAACATAATTGGACTAGATAGAACAATGGGTACAATGAAAGAACCACAAAAAGGAAAATATGAAGTGATCATAAAAAAAGCTTTTTTACAGCTACTTTCAAATGTAAAATAATAAATTCCCATTTCTTTAGATTACATCTTGGTGGGAGGTTATCTTCATATTAATTAGCTACTAAAAACTCAATGAGCTCCAAGGACTGAAAGGCATTCTAAAGTTATTACGACAAAAGTAAAGAAAATCCCTTTTGCACAGAAATGACTGCCAAGAGCAGATATTGACACTGTACTTCAAATCAAGAACTGTGACATTATTGCTACTGGACATTTACTTTGTATGTTGCAGATGCAACCAGCCAAACCTACCTGTTTCACCACAAGGAGAAAACTCCATTCTTTCTGGTTTAAAAGGCACTCCAGGAGGACAGACAGCTCACATTAACGTAAGTAAATCCAAAGCACTCCAGCTG